AATAATAATAGTAATAATAATAATAATATTTGATTTGATTTGATTTAGGTACACTGAATTGGATCCATCCCTGTGGTCGTGAGTACACTGGGTACACTGCCTGGATCCATCATATTAAATTCAAATATAGAGTTGGTTGGAATTTGGGGATGTCCCGGTTTTTCTCTCCTACTTGAAATCATCCAAATTAAAATTCTATATTTGGAATGACCTAGGACCACAGGTTTGTAAGCTTCTGAGATATTTAATGTTTACCCCACAAAACAACACTAAATTAAAGTAAAATGTATTTGTTTTTTTGACCGTTAGTTGCTGACTTCTTACTCACCGGTTTGGATAGCGTTTTCGTGTGTTTTAAGATAAAAAGGCAGAGCCATACCAAAAACCACCGATACACCAACAATGAACATGTTCCTAGCAGCGGTCATGTCCACGTACTGCAGATTAGACATCCCAACAGCTGTGATCATACCAAACATGACCATGAACACTCCGCCGACTACCGGGTCTGGAATAGACGTAAACAGTGCCCCGATTTTACCCACAACGCCCATCACTATGGCAACGCAGCCGGCAACTTGGATCACGCGTAGACTCCCAACTTTTGTTATCCCAATGGCGCCGATGTTCTCACTGTACGATGTAGTCCCACTTCCTGTTCCCCAGGCCCCAGTGATGATACACCCGATCCCTTCCATTCCTATTCCACGATTGATGGCATGGGTGGGCGGTGGGGGTGCACCTGACATGCGCGCGCATGCGTAGTAATCTCCTATAGATTCGACGATCGAAGCGACCACTCCTGATAGCATTCCCAACACGGCTGCTGCACTGACGGTTGGTAATCCCCATTGACCTAAGAAAACAATACATTTTTGATTTTACATTGAAAACCTTATTTTAGGAGCTCTAGCATGAAACGGTTATGCATTTGTAAATGTTTGCTGTGGGATAGCATGACTAACTCACTGATCCAACCCTGAAACGACCTCTGGGCTGATCAAAGTCAGGGCACGGCTAACTTACGGATCGAATCCTGAAACAACCTCTGGGCTGATCTAAGCCAGGGCACGGCTAAATCGTATGCAGATCGAACCCTGAAACAATCTCTGGGCTGATCTAAGTCCGAGCATGGCTAACTCACAGATCGATTTGGAAATCAAGGTGAATAATAGCTGCACTAACCTGGATAAGGGACCCTGAACCACTCGGCTTCTCTTAGTACTTTTATACGAGCGTCTGTTCGAGCCATGTACTGAGGAAGTTCTGGATCGTCAGGAAATCCTCCAGCAGCTGTTACAATGAGGGCAATCAGCCATGAGGTACAGATGGCCAGGATAATCTGAAAACCCAAAAAAAGACAATGCCGTGAAAAGGGTAGTGATGATAGGATAAATAAATGAGATTTACTCCGCCAGTTTCGAGCTCTCTGTTGCTCATGGTTAGCCACGCGGACTGTGCGTAGAATATTCACTAAAGAAGGTACAGTGTTTGTATTGTTGAAGTATTCTGACGCTGATAGGAAGAGTAGCCCTGAGTAAATGAGTCTGTGATCAAGAAACACAGCGGTCGTTTATGAAATTACAAAATAGATAACTAATGATGCCAGATGAAAAACAAAAATGAGTAACAGAACGGGAACGGCAGAGAAAATGGATAAAATGGCATCGGATCACTGCGCATTACAGCTAAATGCCGCGGCACTCTATCAGTATGCACACCAACAAAGAGTTTGTTTATGGTGCTAAACAAGGCTATTTCCAAAAAGATTTGTTGAAGGTTAGTTGCATGTTGTATACCAAGCACGAAATGCACTATGGACGATGTCAATCCAATCAGACGAAGGTCACGACGATTAGAAATTTTCCCACATTTTGTCTGCACGTTTTTCCGGTAAATTGTCTTCTATGCTGACATTATTTACATGTGAATATAATACGGCACGCAACCTGCAGCAAAACCTTCACTAAACTTCTTAAAAATAGCTGTAATAAAATGTAGTAGTAGGGATTTACAAACCGGAAAGAGCCTAAAGAGAGGGTATTTAGCTACGTAACATCCTCTGTCTCTGCTGTAGGCTGGGATTCGAAGATTGATGCCTTGCATGTATTGTGAAAATATGACGATCAATACGATGGTCCTACAAAAGAAATAGCAAAACATTATCCATTTCCTTTTCATATCTTAGCATACCATTTAGGGATCAAAATAATAGGATAGGGCAGAAATTGGTGTTTTCATAAAGGTCATTTTCGCGCGCAACGCGCAATAACTGCACAATAAAAATAGTAAAAAAAATTACACAATTTGGCCCTTGTAGATCGAATTAGAATTTAGAAGTTGGTTTTTGCGGAGGGAGGAAAATCAGAGAACCCGGAAAACCCTCGAAGCACAGGAGAGAACCAACAAACAACTCAACTCACATACGACGAGTACAAGGATCTAACCTGGGTCGCATTAGTGAAAGGCGAGTACTTTCACCACTACGCTACCCATGCTGCCCGAAATAGATACCGCAACTCGGACATTTTTCTTTGATGACGTTATGAAAAGATCTGTCGCACGTGTTTTTTGACATGAGGAGACTCGAAACCCCCCTTGAGAGGGGGGTTGAATTGACCTCAAGTGCATCCTAGTGCATAACAGCGATTTGATTATCTAAAGTGGGTTCCCTGTGGTACAATTATTCATACTTACGTCATAGATATGCCCCAGTGGGTACCTAGTGGAAGAAAAGAATTGTCTTGTCAATTTGTTGAATTGTCAAACTTGTCTTACATGTGGGGCTAACATGAAAATGCAAAAGAAATCACAATTTTTCTCAATGTAACTTGAGGCTTTCTTGTATTTCCATGTTAGCCCCGCATTCAAGACAGTTTTGAAAAAGTGTCCATTAGCTTCACGTTTTTGGAATTATCACAGTTATATACCGACTCACTGTTTCATTGTGTATATACTGAAAACCCTTATCCTTACATAATTATCCTCAGATGTGTTCATCTGAGATACACAGACGGTATTAAACGTGTTCAAAGCCTCCAAGTTCTCTGTCAGTGCGACAATTTATGAACATTCCACAAGTTGCGTGATCACTAGATACACATCTAATCAAAGTGTTTCTCATGCACCATTTTAGTCTCAATTTCTATGTTTTGAATACGATAATGATTTTGCAATAGGCAAGAAGGAAAAAGGAGAGAGGAGGAGAAGCACATCACGTTAATTTTGATACAAAGTGCGTGCGTGTATTGCCAGTGTGTACTCTCATCAAGCATTCTCCTCCGCCAACCAGTCAGAAAGCGGGGTTTATAAAAGTTATTTCTAGACACCATATTTCTTCCAAGTCAATCATCTAATGACGCATGTTTTAAGCATATATTTACGTACCTGCTTTGCCAGCCGCAACTTCAAAGAGAGATAACCCGATAAGGATGATGGTAGGAGCGATAGATACTGGACCAATGAAATGCATAAGAAATCCCATTAAACCAGAGAACCCGACTAATACTTGGAAGAGAGAAGAGACCATGATAGCACCCTGGATCTGAAGGGAAAACATCAGTAAGAATATCACATGTCATTACCTATAGACCAAGACCACTAGGACGCAATCGGCACGCATTTCAAACCACGTGTTGGGCGGAATGTTTCCCATTTCAGACAACGTTGATTATCTCTAGAATAAGATTCTTTGTCTGCGTTGTGTCTATATTCATGTGTCTTCTCGTGCGCAACCGTTAGATAAAGAAATAATACTCTAGGGAATGACATATAAAGTGGATTAGGTCTATTAATTTCAAGAAGTAGAGGACCGTAGCAGGAAGTACCCCATTCCACATGGGCCACAGTTAAACAAAGAAATGACACTCTAAGGAATGACACGTGGTCTGAAAACATTACGTGCAAGTGGATTTGGTCTATCATCATATTCCCATGTAATTAAACTTTTGTTTATATAAACCTCGTCTCTTTAAAACTTCATTTGATTCCACTGTGCTATACCCCAGAGACATTTTGGAAATTAAGACCATCTGCCCTTGAGTGTACGTATTACGCAGGATAATGTTCTAGCTAAAGCATTAGGGGAGAGATTAGCCGGCCCCAAGACCGTACCTACGGTTAATCTCTTGCATCTCTGCCACGCACGAATTCGGTTGAAAGTTTGATGTTAAAAAGTCTAGTCTATATGGTGTATTTTTTTCACGGCTATCGTTGTGTTAATTTCATGGATACATTTTCTAACAGCAATGAAACTTTGCATTTTTGTGGTGAATTCATTAACGTTTCCTGCGCATCCACATCATTGCTCTGCACTTGCTGTCGCTCAAAGGCAAGCAAATGTTTTTCTTTTCTTTCAGAGAATCTCAACTGGGCTCAAATGCCCTTGCATCGCCGAAGCGGTGTTCCTTACCTCGAGCATGCGTGGTTTCCAAACATCCTTGTCGTACCCCATGGTACTGTTTTCGGTTGAATTATAAACTGGAAAAAAAACACAAACTTTTAGATCTATTTTTATTCAAAGCTTACCATTGAGCTGGTAAAAGTAAAAGTATTCACACGAATCAGAAATGACATCAAATTGCTTTGTTTCACCTGACATCATTTCCTATTGCGTGTTTATCAGCTGAATTGCAATTTTTCAAATTTTTTAGTGCAAATGACGTCAAATTGCTCTATTTTAACTGACGTCATTTCCTGTTTCATGCGGAATATTCATCAGCTGAATCGCAAGTTTACATTTTTTATGCAAATGACGTCAAATTGCTCTATTTTAACTGACGTCATTTCCTGTTTAATGCGGAATATTCATCAGCTGAATCGCAAGTTTACATTTTAAATGCAAATGACGTCAAATTGCTCTATTTTAACTGACGTCATTTCCTGTTTCATGCGGAATATTCATTAGCTGAATCGCAAGTTTTGAATAGAGGTTGGCAGTTTGAATAGTGGCTCAACCATGCAAGAATTTTTCCTTACCTGGACATAGAAATTTGGGTTGACGGAGAATCGCGACTGCGGGAGCCAAAAACGTAAACGTTGATCCTTGTACAATAGGAAGCCTACAAACAGCAATAGAAAGTCAGTTATCCATGATCGCTCTAGGATAGACCTTTCTCAATAGAACTTTCCTAATAGACCTCCTCGGCTCAGGCGTAAGGTCTTCCTATTTCAGACCACGTCTGAAAATGAGAAAATTATTGCTGCGTTTCACTTGACGTCATTTCCTGTCTTGTGCGGAATGTTCATCAGCTGAATCACAAGTTTTCAATAGAATTCTTTCTGGTTGACAGCACATGGTGGTCAGTGTTTGACCATCATTTGGAGCAGATAATGAGATTCAAAGTCTTTTATCAACTGATTGAAACTCAGCAATTACACCCAAAGTAAAAGTATTGGAAATGAAAGTACATCCAGCGGATATGAAATAGTGACGTAGAAATAACGTCACGTACTGCAAGTACTGAGGTGTCATGAAGTCTGCGAAAATTGACCAGCGGGAAAAAAAACATGCCCGCCATTGCAATAAAAAAATAAACCTCATGAGTTATTTAACGTTAATTTTTTCATTTGAAGGCCTGGAAATCAATAATTTCAAGAGGAAAAGTGAAGCCTCAGTTTTGCAAATTTTCTAGATTACGATTGGCTAACATGAACTGTCAGTACCTGACGCCAAAGGTGGTTTGTAGAATGGTTGATACCCCAGACGTGAAGAACACAGTGCTCATCACCTCGCTGATGGCCAGATGGTTATTTGCGAAGCACATTTTTTCACTCAGGGCGAATGGTACCGCGAGATTGGCACCAAGCATCGTTAGGTAATGCTGCAAAAAAAGGCATGTAGAGCTAAGTCAACTGGTCCAGTCCATACAGGATATGCTGCACAATAAGAGGAGCGAKAAGCTATTTCTATCTAAACCCGGAACCCTGTATTACACTCTTTAATGGATCCTCCTGAATAGAACGTTTTCACTCAGAGATGGCAGTCATATTGGTGTACCTAATAGAAAAACCTAATGACAGAGTTCTTGTCAAAGGTACACCAATATGGCGGCTGTGACGTTATGTCTGACAACAGAGATTGCAGCCATATTGGTGTACCTAACAAAAGAAACTAATGACAAAGTTCTCGTCAAAGGTACACCAATGCGTCGGTTGCGACATCACATGAAAACGCTCTATAGACCCCTTGCACTAAGTCCCTAGAGGAATTGTTCTGAGGGACAAAACAATGGATTTTTTTGCATAAGGAGAAACGGCCTATTGTTTTATCCCCCAGAGCAATTCCTCTAGGGATTCAATGCAAGGGGTCTATAGAAACAGTTAAATTCGGATACAAACAAAACAAAAAGAGTTCAATTCTCACGAGAGTAAAATTCTGTTGTTTTGCCCTCTTAAGTGAACTGCATGGGCTTATACAAGTTCCAGTTTAAAATTCTGTATTTATTCGTGTTAGCCTTATTTTCGTGTAAAATAATGATGGAAAATCCACGTGTTTGCATTGTCGAAGTCGGGCATTCGTAACTTTAGCGTTGGTATTTGTAAATATATTAAAATGAGGCTAAGTAAGTAAATGGCTTTAGTCTTGTGCCCTAAGGGGGAAATGAAAAAAAGCTATAGAAGCCAAGAGTGGTGTACATGAAGGTAATTACCTGGAAGCCAAGCAAGATGCAAATGTACCATGGTGGATTCTCGTTGATCAAATATGACAAACCTCCCATTCGCTTTTTCTTCTTCTTCTTCTTCTTTTCATCGTCTTTTTCGCCTTTGGAGCGAATCTGGAAAATATTTTTATGTATTGTGTAAGTAGTCTCTCTTTCTCTCTCAGTCTCTTTTCCTTCCTTTCCTCCGTCCTTCTTTCTCTCCCTTTCTCCCTCGTTCCCTACCTCTATCCCTTCGTGCCTATCTTCGTCCCTCACTTCATTTTCTCTATCCCTCCCTCTCCCTCTCCCTCTCCCTCTGCCTTCGTCCTTCCATCGTTCCCTACCTCTCTCTTCCCTCTCTTCTTGCCTTCTTCTTTCCCTCTGTACAGCTCGGTAAATATTACTACTGCTTAGGCATTCGTTGTCGTGAAAGACAAAAGGAAAGCTAATAGATTGATGACAACTAGCGCCTTTGTTCGTAAAATGACCTTTGACTTCATTGCTTTAAAATGCAATGTAAAATCAATTCTTGAACATTTAAGRGGCTTCGAGAATATTTTAAGGTCTCGGGTTCGATCTTGACTCGGCATTACATGTAAGTAGAATTTGTTTGTCTCACCCTTGATTCAAGGGTTTTGCTCTGGTGTTTCTGGTTTTCCTCCTCCACTCGATCTATGAGTTAGTTATGTCCCAACCGACGGTTATTTCGAGAGAAATTATGCCGGCTGAACGCTGATTAGTCATGCCCATGACTTTGATCTGAGGCCGGTGGTTGTTATCTGAGTTAAACTGCGAACACACGGTGCAACATTGCACGCAACAAATTTGAACCCGGGTGACACACAAAATGTTKCACGCAATGATGCAGCCACCACGTTCACACGATGAAATTTTATTGCGCACAATTGCAAGAGTTCTTCCCCTGTGCCATGCTGTGCTTGAGAAGTTCAAACTTGCAACTTCTCTATTCTTTTTAGAAAATCCTTCAGCTCTACCAAGCATCCGGACCGGAAATATAACTTTCGTTTCGCTCTAGAGCGGAGCTACTGATGTCATATCTGATGATCAATTCAGTGAACCCAGAATGCTCATACGCCAAGGAAAAAATATTGATATGAATGTGTTAGAGCTTTTGCCGAGGGTAAATAAAAAAGAGCTATTAACCCAGATCGCGTGCATGGGATGTTTGGTCACTGTTTGTATTCTCTAAGGACCTGTCAAACAATTTCACAATTTTTCCCGAGCTGATACTTACATTACAAACAACAATAGCACGCCATCTTCATCAAATACTCCTCAAATCCTTTCTTGCATTAAAAGAAACTATCATACACAGGAAAATTAATAGGATAGATTTACAGGGATTTAACAATATTGACTCAAATGTCAGGCTGAACTCATGAGTGTAACTGAGTTACTTAGCGATGATTTGCAGCTGTACTGGACGATGTTAGGTCAATGTCAAATTGATGACTGGCGAGCGAGTTTAATATGAAACATCTCAGTTTTAATGGGTGAAAAGCATTTTACATCACAAATTAAAGCTTGTTTCTTCAAGGAAAACTGTATTTTTAAGAATTCCTGCAACTTACATAGCAAAGCAGCGCCTTGCAAATGAACATCAAATATAAAATGACTTATACTCGAATTTCCAGAGTAGCTAATGAATATGCTGATACTTCGAGAAATAATACTTAGCAATTAAAGAAAAAATAGATTTTACAATAACTACTGCTTGAAATCTTTAAAAATTTTAACAGTTCGAACTTGGTTAGTTAAAGAGTTCTAAGTTTTTCCACCGACAATTATATGCTCCTAAAATTTTCAAAAATATTCTCTTGTTAATCAATATTTTTGATCTGTAAGTTGAAGTTTTTTTCTAGAATTACTGTAGCGTAACAATACGATTGAGTTACGAAAGAATTTTGCCCTCAGTTGCAATTGTCTGACTAAAAACCTTCAGTTTTTAATTAAATTACAGTAATTTTTTCGTTTGTTGTTGTTTTTTATGAGATAGAGGAGGCTCACATAGGGATTGTTTGTACAAGAAGTACATATGTTAAAGTTGGAAACAACTTCCAAAATGAAATCGTCGATGAATGTATTGCGTTTCTAACTCTTGAGAGCTAAATAAGTCTTGCAAATGTTTGAACTGTGATTGTAGGATAAGGAAGCTCAAAGCTCGTTAAACCGAATGAAACCAGAAAATACGGCTAAGAAAGTCAGCGATTTACTCATTATTTTAACTTACCTTTTCGGCTTTAAGATTATCTGCCATGACCGAAAGCACGCAAAACCTCTACGCCAACTCTCGTAGCAACACTGCGTTAGCCAGTTGTAACCCACTGGTTGTAACCTAACTTAGGCGCTGATATGAATAAAATATAAGTTAAACTTTAACTAACTGTTTTGTTGACACAACGAGGTGTTGACACTTCATTTACTAAAATATTAAAACTTCAAGACGAGTGAACTTGGGCTGACACAGTTGTTTGCTTTCAAAATGTCGTTGGCATGACAAAATGCAGGCTTTATGATATTAAAAAAGCGTAGGAAGAAATAATTTTGCAATACTATGTAAAATCCGTTTTCGTGATAGGTATGAAAGTTAAGAACGTCATTGGATTTTGATTGACACTTATCTAATTGGTTCAATTAACGCAAGGCATGATACAATGGATGTTGTCATCGATACCGCTAATGTATTGATTTTTAAGTACCGAGAAAGTAAACAGAAAACTGAAAGAAAGGATGTGTTAGGCATTTAACTTAGTTATCACCATCACTTCATATAAAGTTAGTCACCAAAGACCAAAATCACAGGGAACCCGGCTATATTTGTTATCTTCTTTTAGAAAAGTAATTTGCTCTTTCCTGTGTTGTGATCGGTTACCTATTACCTATTCAAAAAAATAAAAAATAAAATAAAAATAATGAAAGCATATATATAGATATTTCAGGTTTTATTTCCATTTCTTGGCTATCATTAAATATATAAATGAAACTGAAATGAAGGAAATGAAGGCTTCAAGAAAAAGAGAAAAAAAAACTATACTAAATACTATATTCCTATAGACCCTTTCATCTTGTGCGTAACGTTTTCTCATTTCAGACCACGTGTCATTCCCTTGAGAATAAGAATCTTCGTTTGAGTTGTATTCATATTCATGCATTTTCTCAGTGCACAACCGTTAAGTACAGGAAATCGCACAATCTCTAGCCTGAATAGCCGCCCTCTGTATTTTGAACAGAGGGCAGCTACGCAGGCTACGTGATCTCGAGTACAATAGAATTGCACTAAGAGGTCACGTGATCAAAGCGGTCATTGTGGCTGGCATTCTACGGGAAGATTAGGTATGCGAGTTCCTCTTGTCCAATCAGAATCAAGTAATTTTGTTGAGTGTATTATAAACAAAGAAATGATACTCTAGGGAATGACACATGGTCTGAAATGAAAACATTGCACCCAATCTCTTTTGTATTTGCCTAATAGATTTCAACGTATTGAGACCGCTTTGGCTATCTGCAGATTAATGTAGTTCTTCCTGTGTCAGCGCCCCATTCCTCTCTCCTAAGGAGAAATTATTCTTTTTTTGTTCTGGCGGTGGTGGGTAATAAGGCAGGAATGGTAGAAACTTGGCGATGTTGTACTTGCTCAAGCGATTAAGTCCAAAGGGCAGGTCGTACACGTGGATGGACGCCATGCTAGAGACAACGACTTCTTCCTTTTCATCGTGGGATTCCTCTTGCTTGCACCACACCAAAAGCCCGCGCTCTTCTTGGGTTCCTGGGATGAGGTTGTCAAGAATCAAAGCGATGATCCCGCCAACTGCCATGCTGGTCTTGAACAGGACCGTCACGATCTGGTCTATTTCGTCAACACCTATTCAGAGTTTAGTATAGTTAGTGTATTGTTGATGTAAACTGTCCTTGGAGACGAGATAAAATCAATGGCCCGACCGGTAAGAAATGGACCAGATCCACTTGGGTGTGATGGTTGCTCTATTTCAGAACACGTGTCGTTCTCTTGAGAATAAGATTCTTTGTTTGAGTTGTATTCATATTCATGTGTCTTCTCGTGTGCAACCGTTAAACAAAGAAATAATACTCTAGGGAATGACACGTGGGAAAACAGTGGATAAGATCTATTGATTTCAGGAAGTAGAGGACCGTACAAGGAACTCATTTCACAAGGGCCATATTTTAGGAGCAATGAGAAGTGATAATGCGCTATATAAGAATATAGTATCATTATCAGCTGCATCAGCATCAGCATCATCAGCATCAGCATCAGCATCAGCATCA